CCCCAAAACCCCAAAACCCCAAAACCCCATAAAGATTAAAAGATTATTTATAGTTGATTAGTAAAAATAATTAGATAAATTAATCTTAATTACCGATCTTAATTGGTGACTAGTTTCACTCTGTTTTTAACTTTTTATCTCCATTTATATCTACTTCTTCTTCTTACTTTATTTCTTTAGCTTCAGAGATCAATTTCTTTTCCTCTTCTAACTTCTTTTCTTCTTCAGTTTACTTACCATAAGGACCTCTTGATTTATCCACTCTATAGATCCATCTTTGATAGAGATATATTAGGAAAATGACATCATCTCTGAAGCAACTAAGTCTGTGCAGAGTTGGCATAGTTATTATGAAACTGAAGAGATCATCAATGATTGTGTTCAAGAATCTATAGAAAAGAGCCTTTGAGGGCATGTGCTCAACTGATTTAAGTCTGTAATTAATGTACAATTAAGGAGTCATTTGAATAAATCCAAATGTGTATATGCATCCAACCAGGGTGTTCAAGATGAAGGAATACCATCCTTTGTGTTCATTGTAAAACACTGAATAAACAGTATAGCCTATCATTAAAGGAAAAATAGCATAGGACATATACCTCATTGCAATTCTATCATATTCTTTAGTTTCACTCTGTGCATAGGAAGCTTTGTCTTCAAGCTTGAAGTAAGGGAATTTGTCAGTTTTAATGACTTTAGAAGCCTTTTATATTTTCCAAAAATCCAGCAGAATTCCAAAGCCATTCGAGAACAAAATCATGAATGAAGTTTCATTGTCAAACAAGTACAGGAATATAATAATTGAACATCCTGTCTAGAGATACAAAGTTTTTACTGAAATGCCCTCCATCGAATCTTTGTTTTTCCAAAAATTAATATCATTTTTGAAAGCCAAGACTTCAAAGATGGTGTGCAATAAAGACACTATCATAGTTACTGTAAGCAGAATTGGATCAGTCTCAAGGAACATTCTTTTCATTTCATCCATATCTCCGCTTTCCATACCCCAGGATTTTTGCATTTAATGCTATTCAGCGAATTACTATTGCATGATAAAGTAGTTTAGGGAGTAGGTATTAAAATGCAAAGTCAAATTTAATTCATCTACTGTTTCATTCACCATCACTAAATCCTTCTTTAATAGCCAGTAGTCACTAAGATACATAATTGGCTCATATGTCATAGTCTCATAATGCACTTTTAACACTTTAGCGACTGGTGGAGGTAGCCCACTTTATGAGTATTGCTACTGATCATAAATGAGATATAGGTATAACTCTTTCTTAAAATACTGATATAGATTTTTATCTTCGTTTTCTTCTTCCTCTTCCTTTTTATTCTCTACATATCCCTAAGGACTTTCATCTAATAGATTTCTTAAAACCTTTTCTTTAATCTTTGGCATGTATTTTATCAGAGAAATGGACTCATTGAAATAAAGATATTCAGGCTGGACTACTGCTCTCAGTTTATTTTAATTCTGAATGTAATTTTTCTGAATTCCATTTGAATCTAAATCATTATCAATTTCTGGAATAAGACCATAATCTTAATCATTAATACCTTTTAAGTACAAAGGATTTTTGGCTTTAATCTACATATGCAAGTAAAGTGTTTTGTTTTTTCTTAAATTTTCATTAACTGGGATAGTGACATTGAAATGTCTGTCATTTGTCTCAATATATTCATAAGACAGGCTGCTTTCTGACCAGGTAGGCTCTCTGCCCTAGATTTTACCTCTTGTAAAGAATTGAAAGTTATCATAGTAACTTAAATAAACATCGTAATCAAACCTATCATGATGTCTAAGTAAATTAGTAAATTAAGTTGATGATAATTGCAAGGGCACCTTAATTGGATTGCCATTTGTGTCATTAAGACCTAAGGCAGTGCCTGATTCTGTTTGAGTGCTTCCTCCTCCACCAAAGAACATATTGATTGCTTAGTTAAACAGAAACATATAGAACATTGTTTAAACCATTTGCGACAAGAAGGATTTTTGCTCTGGCTCTTAGGCTCCTTCTTACGCAGGATTAGCTGCTTATTACTCTTACTACTACATATTAATAATAATTCTATTAAATTTGTTCAAATTACTATAAATGTAGCATCAAGGGGTTTTGGGGTTTTGGGG